GCGGGTGGCTGCCGGCACGGGCTCCGGGCGCGGGCGCAGCGCCCCTTCCCTCCGGTGAGTGCGGCTGGGGGTGCTCGGCGAGCCGGGAGCGCCAACTTCGCCGCCAACTTGGGGCTGGGCTGGGGCGCCGCGCAGGAAAGGACGGCGCAGGCAGACGCGGGACACCCAGCGAGAGTCTGGCCCGCGTAGGGAGCCGGGGAGGGGATGACTTGGGGACCTGGGCTCTCGGGAACTCGGTCTGCAGTTTGGACCCCCGCGGGTGGAGGAGAGGAGGCGAGGAGGCGAGGCCGGGGAGACGGACTCGCAGCGGACACGAGGGAAGGACGCGGGCGAAGCGCCCGAGACGTTTGTCCCCGGGGTCGCCGATCCCTCCTCCCTTTCGCATGGCAGAGCGACACTGCTGGGCAGGGGGCGGCGCGGGGACGCGGCAGTCTGGGCTGCCAGGTCCCCCAACTGTTGCTGTTGGAAGATGCTGGGATGAGGAGCGGGTAGGGGGCCGCGGCTTGAGCGGAGGCTGGGTTCGACCCGAGCCAGGGCGGCTGGAGAGGGCACGGAGCCTACAGGGCTAAAGCGGGCTGTGGCCCGCCGGGATCCGCGTTCTCTGGTTTCTCGGTGTTCTCTCCGCACCTGCTGCTCGCTTCTGCATTCCCGATCCCTTCCACGGCAGTGAGTCCCTCAGCCCCTCCCCTCCCCTCCCGACTCCCCTTCCTCTCTGAGCGTCGTGAGAGGATCCCGCCTCTGACCCCGGGGAAGCGAGTGGGCTTCTGGCATGGTGGGGTCTTCCAGAGGCGGCTCCCAGCCCCGGTGGACCCAAGCTCGGAGGGCTGGAGCGAAGGGATAGGCGAAGCGGGCTGGGGACAGCCTGCGCCTCTGGGACCTGGGCCCAGGGCGGCACCAGAAGGGTGCTCTGGTCTCCCGGGCTTGGACCAGCATCCCCGACGACTGCGAAGCCGGCGCCTCCTGCTGCGAAGGCGTTTTGTGCCTAGGCCTCGGCAGGGAGGACTAGGATGCGACAGCAAAGGCACCCAGTAGCCTGAAATCCCCAAGGGTGCACCTGGCGACCCTTCGAAGTCCCTGCTTTGTGCGCGCGAGGGGGGAATTTCCGCTGGGCCTGACGCTCCTCCATCTTTGTCCACTCCGTTTCCCAGCTCTGCTCGCCCACAGGGACTTCTGACCCTGTCCCTCAGCCCTCGGATGGTGGCCCCGTTCTGGCTCGGACACGGAGCCCCGACCACGGGAGAATCGAAGAAAGCTTATCCGGAGAGGGTGCCATCCCACTGGATCTATTTTGGAGCGGGTCCAGGATGTGGTGGCAGTGGCTCTGAGCCTGTTCCTAAACTTGGAAGAATAAGAGCGCGGAAGGGACAGGTAGGCGGGAAAGCTGCATTCCTGGATTCGCTCCGGCACGAGGATGCCCTGGGCTGGAACTTGGCCTGCAGCGCCTCCTGCCAGGCAAGCTCGGCCTCCCCGCCGCGGGGCTTGAGGTCAAGACCCAGCTTGGGCGAGTGGGGCGGGGCCTAAGGGCCTGGGAAGCCCGCCGGGGGCAGCGGTGAGGCTGGGGGCGCCGAGCGCGTGGTGCCCAGTTTGGCCGCCAGGAGGCGTGGCGCGGGTCTCCGCGCCCGGAGTCGCCGCCGCCTCCGCCGCATCGCGAGTGTCCTTGAGCCGTGGGTGACGGTGGCTCTCGCCGCTCGCGCCCCCTCCTCCTGCAGGGGCAGCCTGATGCCACGTTCCCTATGAATTATTTATCGCCGGCCTAAAAATACCCCGAACTTCACAGCCCGAGTGTAAGAGATTCCTGCGGAGGGGAGGGGGCCCAAGTGGGTTCAGCTCGGGCGGGGGGAGGGCGGAGATAGTCTCGGAGGAACCAGAACTTGGGGCCCCCACACGTGGGTTAAGATGGAGGGGCAGTCTCTCTCCTGGTGCCTGGGTTCAGGGTTTAGCTGGGCAGGAGGGAGGGAGGGAGACCCGACGGCAGAGCAGGGGCCAGTGGCTGAGGGCAGTGGGTCCAGCCCCTCCGCTGGGGGCAGGTGTCTCTGCGCCATGGGGTGGGGGTGGCTCCCGGGACTGGAGCTCCAGACCTGGGAGAGGGGATCCATCCGTGTCCCGCATGTGAGTGTGCGGTATCGTCTCTGTTGAGGACCCTGCTTGAGATGTGGGGAGCCAGAGGGACAGAAGGGTCCTAGGCATGTGGAGGCCTGAAGCCCTTCGGGGCGCGGGGACTGACCATTGCCACCCTCTTTCCAGTCTTTCTGGATGCCGGTGTTTAGCAAACATTATTTTACTGGCCGTTTGGGAAAGGAATGAGGCCAGAGTGGGTGAGCAGAGGCTCTAAACCAGTGCCTCTGATCTCAAGGAGCTCCAGTCTGGTGAGGGAGGGACATGTTGGTGGGCATCTGCCTGCCACCTGGCACAGCAGAGAGGTCGCTGCAGAGGTCCAGTTCAGAGCTCCCAAGCCACGAGAGAAAGGGGTTGTGAAACCAGGGGACCAGGGCTGGTCGGGGCAGGAGCCTAGGAAGAGATCCAGGCTGGACTCCAGAGGACAGTAGAATTTTGTTGGGAAGAGTGCTCCAGCCGGGGGAACGATAAGTTCTGAAGATGAGGACAGTGTGGGCCTGCGTAGCCACTGGCCAGGCAGTGCGAGGTCCATGAAAGGGAAGACAGTAGCTTGGGACTGGAGTGTAGGGGCTCAGGACATAGGACGAAGGTGTCTGGACTTCGTTGTGGGCACCAGGGAGCGGCTGTCCTGCTTGTGGATGGGCACAGGGACCAGAGGAAAGTTTCAGAAGCCCAGTGGGACAGGTGGCTGGGCAGGAGGGAGGTGGAGATAAGAGATGAGAGGGAGGAGGCCAGAGGAGTGGCTGGGCCAGGGGCTGCATGCCACCTGGTGACCTGGTTCGAGTCCAAGCCCCACCGCCCCTCCTGTAGTGGGGAATTGAACCTAAAGCCTTCCCACTGAGCTACGTCCTTAGCCTTTTTTATTTATTTTATCCTCAGTGTACTGGTGATGGACTGGGCCAGAGGGAAGGGTGACGGTGATATTCAGTGCCCGGGAGGACAGAGGATAGTGTCTGCCAGGTGGAGCCACGCAGGGGAGGGTCCTGGGGTTGGCTCTGTGGCAAGCAGGACACTGAGCAGTAGCATATGTTCTGGTGAGGGACAGATGGAAGATCTAGTTTCAGCCGTAGAGAGGACCGGGTAGGGCATGGGGATGTCACGGAGCTGCCTTCCTTCACCTGGCTGAGGGGCCGTCACCTATAGGACAAGGCTGGGGCTGACAGCAGGGAGTCTCAGTGCTGTGAGATAGGTCCCGTGATTAGCTCAAGAAGAGAACCCGGCTCAGAGGGGCTGGGGGACCGCCCCAAGAGCACACGGGTGGTCTGCATCAGACCTGGGACTTACGATCAGGTCTGTCTGATCTTGAACCCACACCATGCCCCACATCATGCATGCCATGCACTTGAACTCCGCGCTGGCATGTTCAGTGCCGCCTGCTGGGCAGAGCCTGAAGGCTGGATTTCACAGCCTGGGCCCTTCTAGCTGAGCATGTTGTTCAGAGGTAGAATGTAGGGTGACAAGCTGCCTGGCCCCGTCCTTCCCCAGCCCCTCCCCCTCAGGTGTCTTGGGGACACTCGGCTAACCTCTGTCTCTTTCTGTGTCTGTCTCTGTGTCTGTTTGTCTGTCTGCCCTTCTCTTTGTGGAGGGAAGTGTCCCTCCTTCTTTGATATGTGTCCTCTGGCCCTGGCTGTCATCTCTTGCCTGTGTGTCCATCTGCCTCTCTCCGTGCCTGTCTTGGTCTTTCCATAGGAGCCGCCAGTGGACATGGGTGGGACCCTGGGGCCAGCCCTGCTGCTCACCTCAATCCTGGGTGCCTGGGCAGGGCTGGGCCCCGGGCAGGGCGAGCAGGCTGTGACAGTGGCCGTGGTGTTTGGTAGCTCAGGCTCCCCACAGGCCCAGGCCCGTACCCGCCTCACCCCTCAGAGCTTCGTGGACCTGCCCCTGGAGATCCAGCCGCTCACTGTGGGAGTCAACAACACCAACCCCAGCAGCCTGCTCACCCACATCTGCGGACTCCTGGGCGCTGCCCGTGTCCATGGCATCGTCTTTGAGGACAACGTAGGCACCGAGGCGGTGGCCCAGCTCCTGGACTTTGTCTCCTCCCAGACTCACGTGCCCATCCTCAGCATCAGCGGGGGCTCCGCTGTGGTCCTTAGCCCCAAGGTGCCTGTTCAAAATCATGTCCCTTCCTCCCCTGGGCTCAGAAACGGGCTGGGGCTGGGGGCCAGGGCTGAGTCTGGCCCAGGCAATGGCTTGGGGGCTGGGAAGCTGGGCGCGACCAGCAGGGAGGGGCAGTTGAAGGTGGGACATGGGAGCGGGTGTGGGAGCTTGTTCCCAGGTTCCAGGAGACCAACTTTTTTGGGCTGCTATGCAATTTGTCTGTGGATGAACCCCAAGCCCCGTGCTGCAGTGGCCAGGGCTTTAGCTTGTGCTTCTCTGGGACTCCTCAGTCAGCCTGGCTGCAGACCTGGGGTACAGGGTCAATTGGGGATGGGAATCTGATGCCATGACCTCTGGGCTGTTAAATTCACCCATAGTGGCTGGGTACGGTGGAACACACCTGTAATCCTAGAACTTTTGAGGTTGAGGCAGGAAGATCCCCATGAGTTCAAGGCCAATTTGGACTACATAGTTCAAGGCCAGCCTGAACTGCATAGTGGGACCCTGTCTCCAAAAAATAAATAAATAAATAAAAATAAAACGGTTCACCCATAGGGGACAGCACTCCGGGGCAAGTCATTGTTCCCAGCAGGTGGGAAGCAGATGCAACCTTTGAGGGACTTGCAGTCTCCTGGGGAAGAACATTCTCAATACATCAGCTGCAGTTCCAAACTGGGCAGTGTACTCAGAGGGAAAAACACAGGCGGCCATAAGGGAGTGTCATGGGGCCCCTGTTTGGACAGGGCATTGGATAGAGAAGACATCAAGAAATGATGTCCATGTTGAGATCAGGAGGCTAAGGGGTAGCTGGCAGGAATGGTGAGGACCTGAGAGAGTTTCAGACCAAGGAGTAGGCAGTGATGTCAGAAACTTTAGAGAGAAGTCAAGGAGAAGGTGGATCCCCACCATATGGGAGGCACTGGCCATTACCTAAGTGGCAGTCAAGGAAGGTGCAGAGGGAAGAGGCTGATCTGATTTGCTTTTATTTATTTATTTATTTATTTATTTATTTCTGGGGATTGGACCCAGGACTCTTGCACTGAGCTACATTTCCCAGCCTCAGCCCCTCTCTTCTTTTTTAAACCAGGAATTGAAGTCAGGATCTTGAGCTTGCCAGGCAGGTTCTTGTGCCACTGAGCTATATCCCTAGCTCCTCTCTTTTTTTTTTTCTTTTTTCTATTTTTGAGACAGGGTCTCTCTATGCAGTTCAGGCTGACTTGAGCTTACTTTGTAGCCCAGGCTGGTCTCAAACTCGTAACGATCCTCCTGCCTCAGCCTCCCGAGTGCTGGGATTAGAGGTGTGCACCACCATGCCCCGTTCTCCTCTCTTCTGAGACAGAGTCTTGTTAAGTTGTCCAGGTGGAAATCCAACTTGTGATCCTCCTGCCTCCACCACTGTACCTGGCATGATTTACTTTTATTTCACTACTTTATTATGGAAAATTTTGAGCATAAAAGACTATAATGAATCCCCACCTACTTCCCACCCCCCCTTGGCCAACCTCCCCCCCCCTTCTGCCTCTTGTGTGCTGAACTGAGGCGAAGCTTAGTCCTTTTATTTTTCCACCCAGAAAAATTGCACTATGCATCTTTAGCAGATAAGAACTTTAAAATATAAAGTTATCATTTGTTATCAGATCTAAAACATAATAAAAATTCCTTAACATCACCGGATACCAGCCAGTGCTCAAACCTATCTCCCCACTGCCTCACGAATGCCTTAGATGTTTATTTTTAAGTCTTCTCAAATCAGTAGCAGCTGGTGGCTGTGGTTTCTGAGTCTCAACCTGTAGGATTCCCCTTTATCTCGCTCTTTTAGCTGCAGTTTGTTTATTGGAGAAGCTGAGTTGTTTAGACTGTAGCGCTTCCCCCATCAGCTTTTCAGGGACATTGGGAGGTGGCAGTGTAGTGAAATTTCTGAGGGGCTACAGTGCCACGTTAGGACACTGCGCTAGCCCAGCCTCCAGCTGCCAGGGTCGCGGGCTTTAGAGGCGGCAGAGGCAATGGGAAAGTAGGAGGAGCGTTCTCCCTCTGGGGCTCCCAGTTATCTTTGGGTCCCCAGCATCAGCTCTCAGGATAGTCGTTCTCAGCTCTCCCAGGGCTTGCAGCAATTGTACATGCTCGGCGTCACACCTCTGAAACTCAGATTCTATAGGTCTGCCGTAGAGCTTCTCAAATTAGCTGGCTCAAGAAAAAGTTGAAGAGCTTATTAAAAATGGAGATTCTGATCCAGTCCGTGCGGGGTGCGGCCCGAGAATCTGCATTTCTAACAAGTTCCTGGGTGTCGCCGTGTGTGGTCCGGGATGGTCGCGTGGGGGCCAGGCCTGCGTAGTTTGCAGAGCTCCACGGGTGATTCCGATGGGCAGCAGAGCAAGGAGCTGCGTGGAGCGGGAGGATTGCGAGAATTCGGTGCACTGCTAGACTAGGGCTTTTGGAGCACAGAGCGGCCCCGGCGGGGGTGGGGCGGGGGCGGGGCTCAGATCGCCCCGCCCCGGCTCAGGCCCTCCCTGCCCCCCAGGAGCCGGGCTCCGCCTTCCTGCAGCTGGGCGTGTCCCTGGAGCAGCAGCTGCAGGTGCTGTTCAAGGTGCTGGAGGAGTACGACTGGAGCGCGTTCGCCGTCATCACCAGCCTGCACCCGGGTCACGCGCTCTTCCTCGAGGGCGTGCGCGCCGTCGCCGACGCCAGCTACCTGAGCTGGCAGCTGCTGGACGTGCTCACCCTGGAGCTGGGCCCGAGTGGGCCTCGCGCGCGCACCCAGCGCCTGCTGCGCCAGCTCGACGCGCCCGTGCTGGTGGCCTACTGCTCTCGCGAGGAGGCCGAGGTGCTCTTCGCCGAGGCGGCGCAGGCCGGCCTGGTGGGGCCCGGCCACGTGTGGCTGGTGCCCAGCCTGGCTCTGGGCAGCACTGATGCGCCACCCGCCGTCTTCCCCGTGGGCCTCATCAGCGTCGTCACCGAGAGCTGGCGCCTCAGCCTACGCCAGAAGGTCCGCGACGGCGTGGCCATCCTGGCCCTGGGCGCCCACGGCTACCTGCGTCAGCACGGCGCCCTGCCCGCCCCCGCCGGGAACTGCCACAGCCACCCCGGGCCAGTCAGTCCTGCCCGGGAGGCTTTCTACAGGTGGACACCCGCACAGGCAGTGGGGGAGAGGTGGAGGCACTTCAGGTGCTTCCGGAGCTTGGGCTAAGTCCCGCCTTCCACTAGCAGTGTGCCTGGCCGCAGGGCTTTCATCTGAAAACACAATAGGTGTGAGGGTGTGGCCAGGATGGTGGGATGAATACAAGGAAACCAACAGAAAGCCAGGCATAGAGGAGCACAGCTGTAATCCTAGCACTCTGGGAGGCTGAGGCAGGAGGATTGCAAGTTATAGCCTAGCCTGGAGAGTCTAACAATTTAGGGACACGTTGGATCAAGGGGGAGGGGGCGCTGGGGATGTAGCTCAGTGCAAAGGTCCTGGGTTCT